AGCTTATGCTTCGCTTTCAAGGTCCACCCTGGAGTTATTTGTTTATACTTTATAAATACAGGCCTACTTGATGACTTCGTGGTTATTGATTTATTTTGATAGTCACATTCCTATCCTCCAATGTTTTGAATGGTCCGTATATTGATGGTTCTGTACAAGCGTAAAATAACTTACAACTTTATACCATTGTATAAACAAAGGCATACAAATTAATAAATTCACCACTATTATTGTAGGGGTGTAGTATTGTCGAAAATTTTGCACGAGTGCAGATGTATTTGGCCTTTATGAACAACTCCAGATAGAGGAATGACCCCTATGGTAATGTGTGAAGTTTTATTATATTATATTTTTCTTTAAAATGTACCCTGCCTACGTATTTAGAATTTAGAATTGAGCGGATTTTTCGCGAATATTTTTAAAATTTATATTAGTACTTAACTTAAATAGGCGCGGGTTGATAATTTGTCATTCAACTCTTCGGAAGGATTAACAATGAAAGATTAAAACTATAATTCCTACAACCGAGCCGAATTCGCAGTATACTTGCGATTGAACTATGTTATAATTAATAGAATTGATGTTTTGAATAAATAATGTTTTTTACTGGTTTTATGGTCTCTGTTATGGAAAAAATTATCAAACAAAATACTTACATCAAGCCAATTCGCGTTCGGTTTAAGGAAGACCTCATTACTTTTAAATTATTTAAATTTAATAATATTTATTAAAAATTTCCAAAAAATATTAGAGAAGTATCCGGTTCTCTTTTAGCATTGATTATATATAAACTGATATAAATTAATATAAAGTAGCGGAGCTTAAGTATAAACTAATATAAAGTAGCAGTTTCACGTATTAACTAATATAAAGTAGCAGTGATTAAGTTTTAACTAATATAAATTAGCAGTGATTAAATAAAAACTAATATAAAGGAGCAGTTATTAAATAAAAACCAGTATAAATTAGCATTGATTACATATAAACTGATATAAATTAATGTAAAGTAGCGGCGATTAGTATAAACTGATAAAAACTAATTTAAAGTAGCAGAGATTGAGCATAAACTTAATCCAACTAATTTAAAGCAGCACTGATTAAGTATAAACTAATATAAATTGGCAATGATGAAATAAAAACAAATATAAAGTTGCAGTTATTGAGTGTAAACTGATATATAAATTAGCAGTGATTAAATATAAACAGATAAAAACTAATTTAAAGTAGTATTGACCTGCCCTCCAGTTTATATTAACAACAATCAAATTCCTCAAACGTAAACGGTACTTTATCTTGGACTCACCTACGGCAGAAGGATGCATGGGGTCCGCATGTTAAAATGAAACGTAAGACACTTAACAAACGACTCAAACTACTTTACTATCTTTTTTCGAAATCTTCAAAACTAAAACTAAAACAGAAACTGAATACATATACATACTTACTTAAGCCCATATGGACATACTCATCACAAATATACGGCATCGCTAAAGAGACCCACCTACAAAAACTTCAAACGTTCCAATCAAAATTATTGCGACTCATAACTGGTACGTGAATAACAAAACTCTACATACAGACCTCCACTTTCCAACAGTTGACCAACATATAACGACCATTTATCAACGATTTTAAACAAATTTAAATTGACATGATAACAGACTAGTAAGAGACATGGCCACAGCTGACATACCTCAGAACATGAGCAGGAGACTAAAAAGGCGTTGGATGAGGGATCTCATTCCTTAGACAACCTAAGTAATTGGAACAAGTTAGGGAAGAGGTACTGCTGAGTACTTTCCTTCCCCTGTAATGTCATTATTTCATGTATCGCCACCACATTTGCTGATTGTCAACAATAATTTGACAGGCGCAAATACATTTTTTTCATAGACAAAAAAAAAGCAGCATTGATTGAATATAAACTGATACGATCTAATTTAAAGTAGCAGTGATTAAGTATAAACTACTATAAATTAGCAGTGATTAAATATAAACTAATACAAATTAGCAGTGATTAAATAAAAACTAATATAAAGTAGCAATGATCAATTATAAATCCAATTACTCTAGGTTATGTAGATGGCAGGATAGATGAACGGGATGCTTCGCCGCCACGGAGGTGCAGATGGACACGGCCCACAAAAAGAGAATTGCGGAAGGATGAAGACACGGTATTCACGAAGAGCCTCTTGTGGGAGGGGGGGAGACATGGGGGTCGTGCTTCACGTTTCCACTAACGGCCCATTTCGCGGCCGCCCCGTTTCCTGTCCGAGCTACTCTGCATCGTCTTCTGTCAGATTTATGTCTTCCCTCCGGTTGGTGTATCTGGAGAAGAGAGGCCTGCCTCTTTGCTATACTAAGGAATGGGATAGATTTTGTTGTAGTTACTAGAATGTAGATCCATAAGTAATTACTAAGGAACGGATTCATGTATATATTTTTTTCTCATCCGTGTACACTGGTTTATTTAAAAAGTTTATTCTATATAGATAAGATAAAGATTTTGTCTGTACATTGAATAGAATCAACCCGTTTCATGATATCTTTCCGTTTTATACATTACAGACACCAAATCCACTTTTAAAAAAGTTTTAGTATGTCTGCATGTCCGCATTGCAACGAACTTTTGTCAGGGATAAGCACAGCAATGGCTTATTGTAGACTTTTGAAATTTTAACATTATATCAAGGTTTGCTTGACTTAAAACATAGGCTGTAAATGAAAACAAAATATTGAGTATAACAAAAGTTATAAATTCTTGAGTAATTTGACTAGATCTCGGTTAATGTTGATAATAAATGTTAATAATAAACATATGTTTATAGCTTAAATAACATAAATAAAATAAAGGTTTCGTCTGTACATTGAATAGAATTCACCCCTTTCACGATATCTTTACGTTTTATACATAACAGACACCAAATCCACTTTTAAAGAATTTTTTTGTCTGTCTGGGTGTCCGCATTGTCAAACGAAATTTTTTCATTGGTAAGCTCGGCAATAGTTAATGGTAGACTTTTGGAATTTTGGCATTACATTCAGGTTTGCTTGACATATAATATGGGCTTTAAATGAAAACAAAATATAGAGTAGAACCAAAATTATGAATTCTTGATTAATTTGTTTAGAAAACCTACTCTACCGCGAGCCATATTTAAAATTGTACTACTCAACTGATGGAAATAATTATCACAACTCAACGGGAAAAATCCGGAATACCGAACATCTGTAACGCCTTGTCGTATAAAACGGATAAAACACACTCATTTTTAAACTTTGTCCGATCTTCCAGTTCAAGATGTCATTCAATTCAACTTCCTGAGCCTAATAAATATTATCGTATAGGATTAATCAAACGGATTACCTGGAAATCAGGGGGAAAACTCCAAAAATTTTACTCCGCACGCCACAATATTCAGATCAAGTTCTAATTTTACACGGATATAGATGACTCAATGTCCAATGATATTTTGGTTATTTTGCCAGCGATAAACTCAGCAGAGTTTAAAGACGTGGATCTCCTCGTTTCATCATAAATGCATATTAAACACTTAACTAATTTTAAAGGATCGGTGGTGGTCGGTTTAGTATGGTATCTAAACAAATAGCCGAATAACAGTTTTTGTTATAACTATTTGCGAAACCTTGACTTCCATGAGCCCCGCCATAAAAAATTTCAAAACAACCCTCCTCCTCTCCGGAATTTGAATTTGGACCCTCCTTTCCCCATAATACAAAATCCATTTCAAAAAAAGATTCTAAAATTTTAACTATAAGTAGTATATAGTATGTAGTATATAAGTATAATATAAAGTTTAAAAGCAAATAGAGCATATTTTTATTTTATGTTTTTACGCATTTGGGCATATTTAAGATTTGTTTACGTTATTTCTTGTTATTTTGCTAGTACTCCATTTCTTCCTTATTACCATATCCTGTAACACTACAACCGGTGAAGGATCTTGGGTTCAGTACTTTGTAATGGAATTCTATTTCAAGGCTAACTGTTGTACAGGGAGGTAATAAGCCCGAAATCACCTTCAACCGCCAAAGTTTTCTCTATTATTAATTATTTAATGAAGACTATCCACTCCACCCATAAACAGTTCCTGAGATTCCGTAATTTTATTTCCCTTGAAACCCACGAGGTCCTAGTTTCCGCTCTCATTTTTCCCACTTTGATTATGTCTGCCTTGTATACAAATGACTCTTCTAATGTTCATTGTATTTATTCTTATAAGACTTAAGCTAGAATAAAATTTACTTTTCTTTTTTCTTCACTTTATATAAGCTAAGGGTGCCCCAAGAGATCTCTTGATCTCAGAATCGATCCATGGTTGATGTAGAGTAATGGTAATAGACGGACTTTGAAACCGAGACATTGAGCATTCCAAGTCAGTGTTTTTTCCCCTAAGCCTACATCTTCGTTCATTATTCATCCTAGTCCAACCATTCAACCATCAGTTTGAAGATTATATTTTCCTCCAGGTGCGAAAAATGATCATATATCCCAGAACAAAAAGTTATGAAGAAAAGGAAACTTTATATGCAAATAATTAAAAAATTACATAATTAACGGTGCTTGGGCAACCAATAATACCATACTATCAAATCATACCCTCGTTCCTATAGAATTCCTCTCTCTCTCCTACATCCATCACTCCAATACTCTACCCACCTTTAAACCGCCTATTCGATCACTTTCTATCCATCCAGTTTTGAATTCTTGAATGTTAGAAGTTAACTTATAGTTTTTTTTTATTTTTTAATTAATTTATTCATTTTTTTAATATTTCGATTTGTTTATTTCATTATTCTTTTATAAACTTCTGATACTGTAAAGCCCACAATTGTATTATTATGTACTGTTCTAAAGAGATCTGTCCTAGAATAAATAAAATATATTATTATTATTTCATCTTATATCTGTTTATAAGCCACTTATATCTCTACTGCAGTTTTGCTGGTTAGAGAAAAACTAAAAAAATAAAAGGATTTTATTCATCTGATAAATATTAGATTAAATGTTACATTTAAGCAAGGCTTTTGTGCAATTCGAACAATTAAATGACTTATATGAATTGAGTACATAGCAATAAATTAGAGATATTTTATCAAACCCGAAATATGGATATTAAATGAATGAATTCCTTTCTACTCAGTATCGGATCGTCCATTCATGAATGATCTTCATTTTGAAGGGTTATCGATATAAAATAAATTTTCGACATCTATGTTCTGCCATTCGTGGGTGACTTCTTGCGCCTTGAAAAACGTGCTACTGTTACCGGAGGTGCCTTGGTTGTAGTTGTCACTGCTACAATTTCTGGAACCTGGAAAGTGATTTCGTGTTTCGCAACTTCCTTCTTGACGACTGTTGATGAAGTTTTTGAGACTTTGCTATGAGTATGTGTCGCAACCTCATGTTCGATCTCGTGATACTCTGGAAAAAAAAAGAATACCAAAATGATAATTTTCAAATTGCGGTGTTGAACTTTTTTGTTTGTAGGTTTGAACAGGTGGATAATGGTCAGACATAGGCCAATATGAATGACATGTACTATAAATTCTTATTAAAACAAATAACTTTATGCCATCCTTATGGTGAAGAGTTGGATTGGGTACGTTATTTAATAAAAATGTTATAATTATGTTACTATTAATATCAAATTTATTAAAAAATTCACACGTAATGAAAAATGGTACATAGACATATTTTTGAATTTTTAAAATATTTTTTTCTTATCTTTCGTTTTATGATAATGTGAAAGCGGATGTGTAAAACATAAGACCATCAATACCATCCTAAAACATGTTAATATCTCAGATCTTAGAAGACTAATGTACCATCAAATTATTCTTCCCACTAATTAAATAGTATATATACTTTTTATCACATTTTGCCGAAAATAACAGACTTTTGCACTGTTTGGCAGTTCTTCAGCGTTAGTGAGAATGATTTTTAAATTTATTTTATAACCTGTGGAGTTCGTAGAGTTTTAAGGATTTTGATGCCTTAAATATATTATATATAGGGGAAGGGATGTCCAACCCCGCTAAGGCCCTTGCAATAGCTAATCAATGTTAAGCAACTTGGTTATAGGTTATTTACACTGTACTTACTAAAAAATAAATATAATAAACAGAAGCAAAATAACAACTAAATAATAATAAAAAAGCATGTAAAATAAATTAGATAAAATAACTTAAAAATAAGTAAATTAAAAAAGTAAAAAACACATATATACTTATACTTAAATTAATTATTTGTTTAATTATCGCTTCCTATTCAACAAAAACCGTGGCTTACTTAAAATAAACATAAATCTTAAATTTTCAACTTTTCTGTCGAAATTTGAACCAACCTTCACATAAAGTTTTTTGTAGCCTTGTTTTGAAATGAAAAACAAATTATAAATTTTAAAATAAAATAATAAAACTATACACTATTTATTTTACATCATTAAAAAATATCATTGCTTACATATGTGTATGCTATAGAGAAAACATAATATAAAATATAGAAAACATAAATATAATTGAAGGAATGCAGATTGCTATATGCCTGACGTCATTTTTCAACCATTAAAATAGAATGACGCTACCCAATAGTTGTTAGTCACCTATGAGATTAATGTTATTATTTTTTAAAATTATTTCCATCGATGGCTCAAATGGTGATTGTGCATGAATGCAATAAATAATGTAAAATATTATTTCGAGATGTGGCATTAGAGCAGCCATATTTAATCAATTGTAAACTGACGCTTTTACATTATTGAATTATACATGATTAATGTGCTTTTAATGTCATGGCGATATTAAATTTATATGCTGTGATAAAATACATAACTTAAAAATCTGAATGAAACCGTTAAGTTGTATTTGAAAGTTGAACTTTTTACTGGAGTTTGATACTATGGAGATTTTTGAGACGATTACTAAAATTTTCGTCTAGACTAGAAACAAGTTGAATGTATTGTAACTTGAAAACTGGAAAACAAGTAATAAGTATAAATTGCAGCTATAATAAACATGTCTGTAATAAACATATAACCGAAAAATTAGATCTGTACAAAAATTCATAAAATTGCACTTGATTTTTCGCAGGTGTCACAGATCAATAAATATTTGTCCCTCACATAATTTTATTACTTATTTTAACTACTTAAAAATATTTATATTATTTTTGTATCCTTTGATACCTGAACAAATAGATGACCCATACCTGTTGAAAATAGTCAAAATTAAACTCATTCAAAACCATCTCTAACATATATTTTCATATTTTATGGATTATAATAGAAGAGATTCAATCAATCTTCTAATGCACGTAATATTTCTTATTTGATGTTGTATGAAATGCTTTTTTAAACTAGCGGCTGAAGAGATTTTTAAGTTTGTTATTTTAAATTATTCTGTAGTATCCTGTGAGTATTTGAACTCAAAATTCTGGCAAATTAAGGTGCAAAGTGCAACATCAAATTATATTGTTTTTAGTTATCATAATCGCATTATTATTTATAAAACAACGCCGTGTCATGAAATTTTGAGCAAAGCTATGAGGGATTGAATTCACCATACGCTACTGTTTCATTCAAATTTCAGGTTACCGTACATGATTTGAATATTGCCTGGAGATTTTAATTTAATGGCTATTTTGAATTTTAGGTTGTCTTTGTATTGATAGGTAATAAAAAAATGTAAGAACAATATTACGATTTGATCTCGAGTCCACAATATGACAGGTATTTCTTAACACATTTTTAATATGTACTTACATTCAGAAGGTGCTTTGTTTCTTTAAATTGTCTTGATAAATTCTCTAAAAAAACATAAATGAACATAAAAGCTCACTAAAAGTAATGGTATCCTAAAAACGCCATAAAAGCAGCTATAAAAAATAACATAAATATAAAAAATATTATCACAGGTAACATCTTTAACACTGCGACAAGAAAAGAACCACTGCATTATATATCAACCATTTCGTATTTGACAGGAACATACGCTGCGAAAAAAAAAATGGTGGCAACCCAATATGGAAATGATCTAGTACAAACAGACCACTTGTTTACTTTCATTGCAAACATAGCAGGGATCTCGATTCGGGAAATGCCTTCAAATTTTTTCGTGAAACCACTCTATAATAAAATATTTGTGACCATTATTTGAAATTAAGAGAATAAGAATAAATATTTAAGTTTATAATTATGATATAATTAATATATGTTTTACCTTCTGAGGTATCGTACTCGTAATCTGGGAGGCTGGCAGAGGTAACAGCTTCAAAGAGAACAGCAATGCTGAGTAAGATAACCCAGGTCCTCATGTTTGAGGGGATGTGAAAGACTGCAACCGAACTGCGAACCTCTTTGGATATGAGAAATGTTTATATAACCCTCCCCTGTATATTAAAACAAATAAATCGATACCGACAAAAAAAGATCAGCTGCAAATATTTACCGATTTACTCAGCTGTTGTTAGTTTTCGTTCTGAATTCGTAAGCGTTTAGGCTATTGTGAAAGTTCTGTCATGTTTGTAATCGTGAATAATACCTTGATTATTTTATTGAGAGCTATTCATATATATGTATTAGATGGCTCGAAGATATTCGTATTTCAAATAGATAACTAGTAACTGCAGATATTAATTACATAATGTTCTAATTATCTCATATATTTTTATTTTATCTACATAAAACTTTTAATGGCTAAATAAAGTTGAAAATGTTTAATCACACAATTAATAAAACAAAATTAATTAAACTACTTCATTAATTGTTTAGTTGATTTTATTTTTTTGTTAAAGATTTTTAATAAATTAATATTCTCCTAAAGTGTATAGAAGTTATTTTACTTCTAATAGGTTAAATAATTCGCTTTTCAGTAGCAGCAGCATATTTTTATTTTGATCTATTTTTATTTAATATTAATTTAGTTGCATTTTGTTTTATTTTTAAATTATTTTTTAAGAATTTCTGGAAGGTGAGATTTCGCCCGCGTACATTAATCGGACCTCGCGATATGGTTTTACAAGAGTATCAGTAGCCATCCGGAGATTTGATCCATGACTGGTCTGTTTCAGGAAAATAAATCTAGTTTCTCGTGCGCCTGCTGACTCTGAGCAGCCGTAATCCATGGATGTAGAACGATTTGACTACATCCTTGAACTCGAGTCAGTCGGGGGGAAGAATACTGCCAGATTGGTCTTCCTGCCGCTGCATCATTGTCTACGGTCCGTACTAACCAGAGGTTGGGTGATCCCCTCCAGGCTGTCTAAGCTTCGGCAAAAAATATACATCTATAAAAAAAAAAAACATTTCGCGCGCCCAAAGATCTTCTTTGTCTTTAAGGCCAACCAAATATCATCATGTATATAAATCTAAATGTATGTGTGTTTTAATGTTCAGAAAATTTTATTAATCGGCTACATACAAGGGAATGGCTACACCAATTTTTAGGTTTGATGGATATAATTGTTTGCTTAGATTCCGTGAGTGTTTTGAAGCAATTTGGGTTCAGAATACTGAAAAAGTATTTTATTATATTTTAAGTATTATCAAATTTTTGGTAGTTTCATATCAATTCAATTTATGTACGCACATATGCCGTAATGTGTTTCTTGTGGGAGTACAAAAAGCTCGGAGGGGGTCACCCAACCTCACATTGCCATGAAACATGGTCTTCTTGGAGCAGGGACGGGCCATCCGTAGCTCCATAGCCGATCCCTTTGGAGCCAATCTGGCAATATCCTCCCACCGAATCACTCGAGTTCAAGAACAGTGACGAATCGGTCTAGATCCATGGACTCTTTCTCCGAAACAGACCGTCAGAATCCACGGAACCTCAGGGGAGCTACTGATATTCTGATAATTTACCCTAAATGTATGTCCGCAAACGCTTTGTTTAGGAGATAATCATACCTAATGATTTTCGTTGATATGAATTATTTACGTTATATGAAATGAATAAAACCTATTTATTTGTTGTAACTACTTCATTAATTAAATATAAATATTAACATTCATATTAAATTTGTTCAAAGTTATTTCCTTGAGAATTAAGACAGGCTCGGCAGCTTTCTTCAACAGCAGCAGTGGCAGAACGGCTCTGCTGTTTCACAAGATTCAATTATTCTTATTCCTGAGGAATTAAGGTCATTAACCGGATTGTTCAATCATATTCCATATCAATGGATTGACCGTACAGGACCAGTGGCCTGCACGCTCTCCAGACCTGATACCACTGAATTATTTTGTTTGGTCAACAAAAAAAAAAAAAAATCTATGCAAGTCCGGTTAATGAACTTAATTCCTTACGAAGAAGAAAAAGTGGATCTTGTGAAATAATAATACATATCCAGTGCCGTTCTGCCTCTGTTCCTGTTGTAGAAAGCTGCCGAGCCTTAATGCTCAAGGAAATAACTTTGAACTGCATTTAATATGAATGTTAATGTTTACGTTTAATTAAAACATTAAAACGTATAATTAAAAAATATATAAGCGCATCTTTTAGGATAGATAGGGTTATTTCTGTAGCGGTTCTTTAAAAATATTTTTTGACATTATCAGATTGATATTATACCGATTAAATTGAATATTTAATAGTTGACCGTTGCATTATAAAGGAAGGAGATGGTCCGCGGTTGCAGTCATGAATAGGCTAAATAGTGGTAAAGCTATAAGCTTTAAGACCGATTAAATTATTTATGCAAAGGACCACCGAATATCTTAAGTTAACTAAAAGAACCTTTGAAAGAAATTATTGTTTCGTGGAAAATCATAGACCAATTAAATTTTGAACAAGCCTATAAATTATTTATGTTCTTCTCAGAAATTGGGAGATGAATCCACAGAACGTGGGCGACACAAAATGAATCACAGAATGTGACACAAAAACTGTATGTTTATTTGGATGATTTTCATTGCTAAGTTTCTTTACATATTGTTTTTTTTGTCTCATGTTCCAATTATCCCGAAATAGCAGAGGGTCTTTGGTCTATTACGGCCGGTCTTTCAAAGGAGTTCCGAAAAGAATTATTCCTCAGCAATTTCCTGAAGCACTTCCAATTAACGATCCTTGAATTCCTCTCCCTTCAATTATTTACTTTTTTTATTTCTCTTACTTAGTAGATTAATTAACGTTTTAATTATAAATATATTTTATTTTCTTCTCACTTTTTGCCCATAGATCTAATTTAATAAATGAACACAATAAATTAGATTATTGGAAGATCCAATGTATCCAATGCCGACGTCGTTACCATATTTAGACTGTACGATTTTCCAAGGCTTCGTTTAGGTTTCGTGAAAAGGTATGAGGCCTGAGGCTTAGAATACGGCTCTAATCTGTCCTATCCTAAAGAATAGCTCCATGTATGAGTGCAATAATTACAGAGCCATGACACTCCTTCCGGTTGCATACAAGATAATGACCAATATCCTACAAGATCGGATATATCCGTATATTTTTTTTCTCATGGCGATACAACCCGGTTACAGGTCTTGGCCTTCTCCAACCGTTTCTTCCAATCATCACTGTCTTGTGCCGACGCCATCCTGTTCCACACCATCTCAACTTTGGCCTCCCTCTTCTCCTTGTTCCCATGGATTGGCTGTTAGAGCAATATTTTAGGCATTTCTCCATCTGCCATCTTCGCCATATGTCCTGCATGCCTTAAGCGCCTCAACTTCATTGCTTTCACAATATCAGCTTCCTCATTGTACTGGTTCCTGCGCCGCTTCCACTCCTCTCCGATTTCCACTTCTCCAAAAAGACGGCGAAGAACTTTTCATCCAAAAATAGGAAGTTCTTTTTCAGCAGCCTTCGAAGTTATACAGCACTCCGATCCATAAAGAAGTACGAGACGCATCAATGCCTTATAGAGGTGGAGCTTGATCTGTCTGGAAAGTATCAGCCTGGTTAACCAAAAGTAGCATGTGTTGACTGTTATTATCGTTCTTCTATCTCTATATCGGGGTTATTATCTAGAGAGACCACTGGATCTCAGACAAGTAAACTCCGAGACCTTCTCAGATTTATGAAGCCCAGCATTGACTGTCTCGTCTGGCATGGAAATTTCATCTGTTATTTTCATTAACTTCCGTCCAAGTCTGCTGGTAGGACCAGCCATTGCAAAAAAAGCTTCAGTCACGGCCTGCAGAGAGCGTCCCACAATATCTATATAATCAGCGTTGGCCAACAATTAGATAAGCCTGGTAAATATATTTTCTTGCCAATGCGTAAACCAGCATCTCTTACAGCCTTCTCGCGTGCTCGGTTAAACAATATATTTAACAATAGCGCATCTCCTTGTTGGAGTCCTTCACCTGCAAAGAATTCCTGAAACTGTCGCCATTTAGTCTAACCATATATCTACATCTTCAGGGTAAGCTTTATCAAGCGTATAAGTTTTTCAGGTATGTTTAATTCTCTGAGGGCAGTGTGCAGCTCTGCCATGCTGATATGCTGTCATACGCTGCTTTGAAGTCAATGAAAAGATGGTGAGTTTTGGTTTTGTACTCATGGCCTCTTTCAAGGATGGTTCACACACAAAACATCTGGTCTGAAGTGGATCTTCCTTTTCTAAATTTACTGTGGTACGGACCGAGTTCACGCTCAGCATATGTGGTAAGAGGCGTACAAACTGGATATGAGATAGTAGCTTATAGGCACTAGACAGTAGCGAGATACCTCGATAATTGCTGCACAGCAATCTGTCGCCCTTTTAATGTATAGGACAGATAATTGACCTATTCTGGTAGCTCGTAGCAATCTACCTCGAAGCCTCTATGTAACAATGAATGCCTCAATATAAGGCTAATGTGGAAGGCCAAAAAGCAGACAGAGGCAAATAGAATAAACAAAGATGTAATAGAGCTGCGTGCAGATAAATGTAAAGAAATAGCGCAAGTCAGGCAGAGATGGAGCAGCCTTGCTAAGACGGCAAAAGATCTACAAGGTCTGTAATACCAACAGAAATATATATATATATATATATATATATATATATATATATATATATATATATATATATATATATATATATATATTTAATTATTAATAAATATTTATTGTTGTTGTTATATTTATTCATTGTATACTGACTGTTGAAAACGGAATAGAGAAAATTTGATCCAATTACAAAAATACTTCTTGCTCAGAAGATTTAAAAAACTAAAAAATAATAAAACAAGCTGTAAAGTAAACTAAATAATCACGTGATGATATGTAAAACGTTTCCATGGACACAAAAAAAAAAAAAAAAATCAAGGTGCCCTGCGAATAACACTTGCATACTGATGGACCAGTAGTGAAGTTAATATAGTTACAAGGTCATGATTGCATTGATGTTCAATCATCAGAATTTTCTGTAATTCCCTTTATATATGATATAGAGTGTATTTAAAGATTTTGGGACCTGATTGAACAGAAAATAATTTTCATCTACAGTAGAACTCTAATCTGGACGCGAGAGTTCTAAAACCAGTGCTCCCTTTTCTTAGCTATTTACATAATAACATTCACAATTCTGATTAATAAGGGAAGTCAGGGTATACCTTAAATGGAGGGAAATATTTGAAAAATTGATATTAGACATAAAAATCTAAAAAAAGGTTCACATAAATAATTGCCCATTTTCCAGCAGAAAAATAGGAAATTTTAGATTTGGGTTTTTTTAAGCGAGTCATGTGGTTTGTTGAATAGGAAGCTATAATCGAAACATTTTTTGAATTAAGTAACATTGCTCCATAGCAAACTAGACAAAATTTACTTTAAAAAAAAGTAGAGTTTGTCCTATTTAAACTATTTAAAGAAGTATATTAAGCGGCTTAACTAAGCTAAGTTGTGATTTAAAAAAAACATTATGGGTGATATATATTCAGGATTATAAAAAATTAAAAATGTTTTTAAAAGACTGCGTCCTGAATATTTATCACTCATGATATGTAGAACAGTCGACTAGCTTCCTTTAAGAATTTAAAAATATATTAAATTACTAACGATTTTCTTTCATCATAATCCATCTATACCACAGTTGCCCCACTTTTAGTAAAACTTTCTCGTTACTTAGGCTTTAAGTCTATACTAATTAAAATTTATACTTTTTTTTACTATAATTTACGTTTAAAATAAAGTAACCTATTGACTGCTTCAATTATTTTCATGAAAACTTAAATATTATGGCTTAAGTTTGTCACTTGTAAATATACATCAATTTCTATGACAGAAAAAGACCATTTCATAACCTCCTTGTATGAAAAGTATTTGGAAACCATAATTTCCATTTTTTTATTTTAATAAATAAAATGTGTTTTTAGGCAATGATGTATATTACAATACACCCATATCACGGAAAAACAAGAAATAAAAGCTATGCAACAGTTAATTGTAGTAAATTTTTGCTGTAAACTCAAGTAATTTTAGGTGACATGATGGAAAATCCCATCATTTCTTTACACAAGTAGAGGTGAAGTTTAAAATAATTCCTAATAAACCTCAACTCAATTAATATGGACTTAAAGCTTATTAAACGAGGAAGTTTTTCTAAAAGTGGGGTAACTGTACTACAGTTAAAGCGTGATAAAAAAAAATTACAAATAATTTATTGAAACGGAAATTAGTTGAGTTTGTCCGCTCAATAGTCCGCTAAATGGTTTTAACAACGACAACATCTACTTTTGTTTAATGTAAATTTTGTCTAGTTTAACAAGGAGCAATGTTTAGTTCCTTAAATCATAAGTTATCGTTGGCCTATTCTACAAAAAACGCGACTCACTTAAAAAAAACATAAATCTTAAATTTCCTACTTTTGTGCCGGAAATAGGGCACTTATTTATATGAACTTTTTTATAGATCTTGATATCTTCTATCAATCTTTTAAATATTTCCTTCTACTTAAGGGACACCCAGTACATGATTTCCGCATTATAGTTCTCTTTTTTGGCTCTTATGATAGATAAAGACTATCAAAGTGTCAAAAAAAGAAAATTCTTAGAGGAATGAGGAGCCCCTATTTTGATTCTGAAATATTTACTATAGTTTAAATAGAAGTGAAAATACAATTAAAACACATCACTTGAAGGAAGTTATTCTTGAAGGAAGTAACTGTTCTACATATCATGGGTGATAAATATTCAGGACGCAGTCTTTTTTTAATTTTTATTTATGCCAACGTTTCAACCCAAACATGTGGGTCATCTTCAGGACGTAGTTTGAGCACTGAGGGTGTTCAAGTACTCCTTGAGTACTAAGCCAAGTAGACAGTACTAACAGCGAAGACAATCACCCATTGCTGGCCAAGGGACTGCCATAGATGCCTTAATTACTCCTTGAGTACTTGAACACCCTCAGTGCCCAAACCAGGCCCTGAAGATGACCCACATGTTTGGATTGAAACGTTGGCATAGATAAAAATTAAAAAAAGACTGTGTCCTGAATATTTATCACCCATTATAAATATATTCAATCTTTAGAAAGATATTAATTACAACCTTGTCAAACCAAGGTAGCGATGTAACATAACCAACTGAGTTAAATAGAGTTTGTGGATAATATTATATATGTTTTAATGGTGCTTGTGTCAGAAGTGCTTGACTTGAGCTTAGTAAGTTTGCCAGTTATAAAGCCACACCTCATCCACCGACTAAACAAACTGCTTAACTAGACAATTGCTCGTGTGCTTTCATGAAATTACAACCTGGAAAAGGAGCCTATAAGATTGCAACAGGCCATTGTTTGATCCGGCGTGAAACCACTTTGCAGATAAATTACTGGCATCTACGGCACTCCCTTGGCCAGCTATGGGCAATCAGCATCTCGAGTGATTGTATTCGCTGTTAGTACCGTCTACTTGGCTTAGCAATAGTTCGATATCTCTTACTATCGATTGTTTACATTGATCAAAACTATCGATTTGCTAGCGTTATCAATGCGTAGATGTATAATGATGGAGGAAAAGGGAATATTTATGGATTGAAGGTTGGGAAAATATAGAATTATCGATATTTTGACAGAAACTTTTTATATTGGTATTTTTTGTTAATATACAAGTAATATTTTTTTTTCTTCAGTTTCGGTTTAATATTAAAGCGTAAATTCAGTTGGTAGGTTTCAGTCATTATTAATTAAAATTCGATTTTCTTAACTTTTTTTTTTACTTTTCTACCTATACTAGGTATGGAAAGTATTTTAATCAGGTTAAATTTTTCGATATGCGGTTTTCGACGGATCTACACGTTTCAGAGCCCCCTGAGTCCAAAACACATATTTTTAGCCATTGGTCTGTCTGTGCCATAATTTTCTCGAGAACTACTAAACCGATTTTGTTGCTTCTTTTTTTTTATTTTGTAGGGTTTTGACTACTGATGCTTGTGGCAGAAATTTGGTGCTCCATGCGGAATAGTTTGCGCGCAATATATGAAAAACGTGTTTTTCTGTAGACTGTAACGCAAAAACGGCACTAACGATTTTGATGAAACTTTCCTAAAATGTTATAATAATTGTCCTTTCAATTTTCGTATATGAACTAAATTCCCGAGAAAATTCAGAAAAAAAAGTTATAAAGAAAAGAAAAATGTTAAGAGACCTAACTCCCTAAGTATATATTTTTACGATAAAATTTATGATAGAACTTTTCAAAGGTAATTACCAACAATTTGAAGGTATAAATTACCAACAAGACAAAAAAAAAAAAAAGCATCGGAATCGAACCAGTATTAGCGATGATACAGCTTATTCTATTTTTTACACATGTTTTAACTTATTACTTTCCTACCTATACTAGGTAAGGAAAGTATTGCAATCGGGTCAAATTTCTGATATGCGGTTTTCGACGGATCTATGCGTTTCAGAGCCTCCTGAGACATTATTACTAATGTCCTTCAATGTGGCTTATTATATTAATACTCAATAAACTCTTTAATTAGCTAAAAAGTAATATTCATACAGTAGTAATTGATGGAGTTGGCAATAGTTTAGTAGCACTATCGATTGGGGTCACTATTGGTACTGGTACTGGTGGAGGGAACTAGTTCGGCAACTGGTCCTATCGTGGTCCTGTTTACCAACCTCTGACGGCTACCTTGAGGTTGCCGCCGCGCACTTACAAGAGTGGGAATGTCACGATCCATTTCCCGGGATCTTGTGGGAAGAGTAAGGGGACACTCACGACATCGGATTAATATTCAATAAACAGTGAAAAATGTATATTGTGCCAACTGAAAATATGCCTCGAATAATCACATGAAAGATGTCGCGAGTTTTTCCATACTCATCCCACTGTGAGCCGCCGAGAAATGAAAAGTCACTGGCCCAGGAAGGAATCGAACCCACAACCGTTCAGAACTTGGCACTCAGAGACCCATACCCCAACGTGCTTGCCCATCTCGTCATGTGGGGTTTAGTCCGTGGTGCAGACCCCTTTTTAGCAAATTATTAACATCCTGCTGAAACTTCGTATATAGGTTCATCTCGCCGTATACTACAAATATTTTATTTACGAATATTCTTGGTACTAGCGGATCCAGGATTTAATTTTGGGGGAGGGGAGGGCTTCAGCCCGAAACCTTTTTTTTTTCATAAAAATAGTTACTTTGGAAAAACAGAAAGAAACTAACTACCTATATGAAATGGTATTTAAGCGATTTCTTAAGTCCTTTTAACTGTAATTACACGAACAATAATACTTTAAGAGGTATTTTTAATTTTTTTTTCCATATAACATGGTAGTATTTTACCATTTGGGGGGGGGGGCTTCAGCCCGAAAGCCCCCCTCCCCCGTATATCCGCCCGTGATTCTTGGTATTTGGGTATTTCAATCTGGTGGTCGGCAAACTTTGTTTACTTAATTAGGGACTAAACACTCGTAAATATCAATTTGCTTTCCACTTGAATCGTATAATAACTTCCACACAACGATGGAAGAAAAACTGCCCTTGAAAAATATTGTGCCGTTTGACGTGACCTACACCCTCAAATTGTCAAATAACCAGGTTATATAGGCCAAAAGAACCTATATTTTTGTAGGGCACCTTTTTTAAACGATTTTGTGCTCAAATTATCTTACGAACCAAGTGGAAAGCAAATTGATATTTACGAGTTTTTAGTACCTGAATTGACAAAGTTGAATATTTTGGCAAATTATGTTGAATGAAATACAGTGATCAACCAAGGAAATCAAATTAATTCCTCTTCCGATAATATATAGGGCCTATTTATTTCCATATTTATTTGGCATTTCTTAACTTAACAATATCTTCTGCGAATTATTCGCACGGGCCAACTAGTCATATGTTATTCTCGATATTCATGAAACTTTAAAATTTCCTATAATCTTCTATCACTAATCCACTATTTTCTTCCAGGTTTACCAGGTTCTTCATGTGAGGCTGCGGGCAGGAACTTCTCCAAGACCTGGATCTTGGATTCTGGAAAGAGCTCTCGAAGATGAAGAGTACAGACCGTGGACCTACTTCGCTCCGACGGCCGAAGAGTGTGAGGCTAGATATGGAGCACAGGCACCTTATTGTCTTAGCAATATGTCCAGAGTTTCACCCATGGATGGTGGAGAGGTAGGAAGAAATCTAATGTTATATAAACTTTTTAATTATCTTTAAAATGAGTATGTGGAATGTTCCAGGAGATCTAAAATTATATATTCGAAACATAAAAATAATAAAAAGTCCAATACGTGGCCATAGTGGGCTGTTTATACAATCTTGAGGGACAAAAGTCATTGTAAATAAATTTATTTATTATGTTTAGTTCTCAATTATTTTATCTTAGATGTAAAAATGTCATTTTAATTTGGCAAATGTTTTTGTACGCAGTAAGGAAAATACAGTTAGTTAAACAAAATTACTTATTAATTACATTAATAAACAATTAACAGCAAATTTATTGACTAATTAATTAATTAGCAAATCCCATTGCTAAAACTATAAATTTAAAAAATAGCTGTAATGGCAAATCTCTTAATACATATATCCAAGCCGCTTCCACCACTTATGCTGCTGCTACTTACAATATTGCCGTTTTAATGAATCTTCTCTGAGGAATTCACTAGAATCCTGAAGGTTGAATTCATTTTGTACGTTTTTATAGGCCATCTAACAGCATTTCCAATTCATCCAATTAACATTTTTTTCTGCCCTTAAACAAATATAGCCATCACTGGTTTTATTCATATGTTTCACAATTCAAATTTTTAAAAAAATATGTAAATTATTTCAATGGAAAATTATGGCATCGCTTGATTACCTACGGCAGCCATGTCTTTAATTAAAAATTTTAGCGAGTTTTACCAAAATCTTACAGCCATCGTGGTCTACAATCTATAGGAATGCATGTTTTCGACTATTCTAAATAGAGTAGAAATGGATAGGTGAATCGAGAATCGAATCCTCTGAAAGAATCGTACTTTCAAGTGATTCACACTAAAGAATCACGAATCAGAACCGGTCGTTTCACTGAGAATCACGATGCCGCTAGAACGCTGTCTCAGTTGTTCACTGATTCTTACCGAGTTTGTTCTAGGAGATCATCCAATCGGGTTCCATTATTTGCTATGTTGTTTTGTTTACTTTTAGAATACACTCTTCCAAGAGCATTTCGAACTTCAGATATTTATAACCTTTACTTATTTATATTACTATTTTGGTTATTTTCCCTCTTTGTTTGTTTTATTTATGTATGTATACAGTTGTTTTTCTCTCTTGTACTTTTATTTTTAATTACCTATTATTTTGTAAATATTTAATTATTTACAATTTATAAACACAGACCAAAATCTAATATGTATAATTTATAAAAAAAACCTTTCCAGTCAAATTTAAACTTCTTTATTACTTTCAAGATTCATAATTTTGCATCCTCACTACCGAAGGTAGGGAAGCTTTATATTCGTGCGGGAGGTTAAAACAAATTATGTGCTCAGAATCGAAAAATTCCACTAGCATATTACATTTCAGACATCAAGCATCAAATTTGGTTCGGCGTCTGTCTGTCTGTACTCAAATCGATGTAACTGGCATATCACCTTCTACCGTTTATCAGATTTTCATGAAATTTTCAGGGAATGTATAGATTCGTGTCTAGTTGGTTATTAATTTCATCAAATTCCATCCACTACTTCCGCTTATACGAAAATGTATTTCAGCAACGGCTCGTTCGATTTGACTCGAAGTTGGGACTTGAAGAAATATAGATGTTAGTAAAAAAATTATGCTGTATCGATTCTATCGCTTTCACATAAATATGCCCAAACGTACTTATTCTTCGTGATATGTCTACAGCTTAAAAACCGCACATTCCATTTGGCTCAAATTTGGAGGGAAGTTAGGGATTGGTAAATAGAAAATCAAGTAGATATCCATATCAGAAAATTCTATCCCCTACTTTCAGAAAATACTTCCGCTTTCGGATCTGAAAAAGTATTGTTTTTAATACTTTTTAATAATTTTTGAAAACCGCTCGTTCGATTAAACCGATAGTTGAAGGAAATGCGGAGAATAGAATAGAAATTCTCTTTATCAATTTCATTGAATTCTATTCAAAAATTAAAATTAATATAAATAAAAATATAATGGCTGTGAAATGGAGAAGGGCTTGATCATGAAAGGGAGGTTATGTTCTCAGTATTGTTTAATGAGGTTATAATATTTTAGACTGTATTCAAAAAAGTTAATTCAAACTACATGTTTTATCGTTTACAAATTACTGGCATGACACCTACTGCGGTTACAAAAAATTTCATGTAATTTCCAGTGACTGTGTGGTTGAAACTTAGATGGCACAAGATAGATTTTGCCTAATCCCTTCACCAGCTTTCGCTTAAGCATGCACTTCTCCTTTACTATATGTACCGTATATTTTTAAATTTAAATTAAATTTTGCAGAGGCTGTAAAAGATAGCGTTATATTTGTGAGTTTCTTTGTTCCTTTTGGAGTTCAACCAACTGGTTCTGGTCTCGATTTCCCTATCAAACTTCAAAGTGTTAAGGGGCTTTATTCCAAATCTTTTTTTAACTAATTATAATTAAAGAGTAGGATGTAAGCATTGATAAATTTTAAATACGTATAGACCCCCATTTTCTGTATTTTGTTGGTGAATTTGCTGAGGAATTACTTGGCAGACGTTTTTTATTTGTACACATTTGAACAAGAACTTTTAATTTTAATCAGTTAAAAAAAAAAATGTTTTTTCTTGAATAACTATAAGGTTTGTTATTGTTTCATTTTAATTTAAAGAAAAAAAGAAGATGAAAAGAATCTATCAAAGAATCATTCATTAGTATCGATTCACTACAATGATTGGATCGATTCAGTAATAAAAATGTAATTTCCCATCTCTAATATAAAGTACTGGGCACCCGACATTGAGGTCCTTGTTTTCAGTCAAAACAAAAGTAATTTAAGCTTGAATATACAAATATAAGTGAAGTTCTCACAACTTTGATGTAAAAGGATGAAATCGAGACCACGACGAGCTGTTTGAACTTCAATAGAAATCAACACAATCATAAATACTATTTTTTTTTTTTTTTACAAACTTAGAGTAAGAATCAATTTAAATTTATTAAAAATTACATGAAATCTAAATAACAGTAGTAATCATCATGCTAGTAATATTTGAAAGCGACTAAACAATGCAACACAAATTATCTTTTTGAATAAAACCTTATTAAATTTTATAACCTCACAAACACATTGTACTAACCTAACCCCTATTACACATGATCAATGCCTTCCTCATTTCACAGTCATTATACTGTCAACAGTTATTTATATTAATTTTAATAATTAAATGGAATTCTATGAAATTAATACTATGCAATTTCTATAATGTTCTCCAAGTGTGAGTCAAATTGAACTAGCCGTTTTCAGACTATATGCGTGTCAAATAATACATTTACTGATCCGAAAGCGGAAGTATAGATTTTTTTAGAGTAGTAGATAGAAATATATAAAATTGATAATCACTTAATTATCTGTTAACCAATGCCTAATTTTCTTCCAAATTAGAGTCAAATCGCACGTTCGGTTTTAGAGATAACACGTTTGCGCATATATAAGAGGAAGTAGAGGACAGATTTCAATGGAATTGATGTTGCGTTATTTTGTTTATTTCTTTTTACCTTTCTGTTTTCTAACTTTCAGCTAAATCGAACGAGTCGTTTCTAAATTATTGGCATATCTAAAAAAATACGTTGGATGAAATTTGATATGGGATCACCTAGACACCGACCCGCACAATCTCTAAAAATTTCAGGAAAATCAGATAAACGGTAGTGGGTGTGTACTATGTATGATTAATTAATAAAAATACTTTTAGAACAAACGTAGGTGTGCTTTATTATTTATTGCAAAATATACCATCTGTCTTATCTTAATCGAATTAATATATGTAATCGATTATATTATAATTGAATATACAAAGAGGTTACAGTCTTATATTCCAAGATAGTGAGGAAGCAAAAAAAATCTAGCAAAAAAGTTACCGCCGCTATCACATCATTTAAAACTACGATGGCAACGGAAGCATTTGTTCTGATATTAAAAGGCAATAAATTTTGTAGAAATGGTGTTTTTAGTTTGAGTAAATACTATTTGTTTCTTATTGATATTTTATTAAAAATCTAAAGCTTAAATTGTATTTATATTGTCAACATATCTGTTTATAGCATTAATGTATTGGTATTCATCACTCAATAAAAATGCTAGCTAGAAAAAAATATTTAAAAAAGTTGTCTGCCCATGTTAGTTCATTACGTTATCTAATTATGATAATACTGATTTTTAAGTTAAATTATCTGATTATAAACATAGATATAAAAATGTAAGTCTAAAAAATGTTTGCATATATATGTACTCACGTTGAGAATTATTTTTCCTTTATTTATATCACACCAAAATATTTCAGGCCTACAACCACTACCAAAACACCAATTGCGTATCTGGTAATCGGATTCATTTTCACTACTAATTTAATTGCTATATTTGGATAGTAAGCATGTGTGTGAAATAAATTATTTCACAGTATATTAAAATATACTCGACATGTGTATTATCTTATATTATTTCTATTTTTTTTTACCTTGATAGTCACATTTAGAATGTTATGTATTTGTTTATTGGATGTTATGTACAGCAGACTACAATTTCAAATAAAGACATATTTATTTAATCAGAGGTTCTAATCTCTCACTCACTTTAATATTGTTGATAAAACAGCTCATCTGAAAATGTGTTGAATAGCCTAAATTAGATTTTAAATTATGCATAGAAGACACAAGCTAATTTCTTATTTTTACTTCCACTTACGTATATATGTAATGTATAGTAAGGATAAGTATTGCCATCGTGAAAATTTTTGAATCTAAGTTTTCAACGGAAGTACACGTTTTGGGGTACCCTGAGTCCAAATAATCAAGTCCCGAAAAATGGTCTGTGTGTCTGTATGTTAGCAGTATAGCTCAAAAACGAAAAGTCGTACGAAACTGATATTACGTACTTAAGATAGGTATATGCATATGATGTCGCCGCAAATTGTCCCTTAAAATCGGTTAACCGA